TCTCTCTCTCTCTCTCTCTCTCTCTCTCTCTCTCTCTCTCTCTCTCTCTCTCGTCGCCACCCACTCCGGCTCTAGCCCGTGCTCTCTCGGCTGCCCACTCGCCCGCCTAGTATGCCTACTCTCTCTCTCTCTCTCTCTCTCTCTCACACACACACACACACACACACACACACACGGGGGAAAACAAAAAGTGGCAGTGTACATTTCCATTTTCTTGGCCAAGATTCATTCGGATTCCGATGATTTTTCATCGGCTGAGCAAAATAGGAATGAATCTTGGCCGAGGAAATAAGAATATACACTGCCAATTTTTTTTTTTTCCGTGTGTATGTGTGTGTGTGTCCGTGTGTGTGTCGGTGTGTGTGTGTGTCCGTGTGTGTGTGTGTGTGAGAGAGAGAGAGAGAGAGAGAGAAGCAGCTGGAGTAGGCGGGCGAGCGGGCAGCAGAGCACGGGCTGGAGCGGGAGTGGGCGGCGACACGAGAGAGAGAGAGAGAGAGAGAGAGAGAGAGAGAGAGAGAGAGGCAGATGGAGCAGGTGGGCAAGCGGGCAGCAGAAAGAGCGCGAGCCGGAGCGGTAGTGGGCGGTGACGAGAGAGAGAGAGAGAGAGAGAGAGAGAGAGAGAGAGAGAGAGAGGGGCGGGTGTTAACGGGGCGAGGTCGGCGGCTTTTCCTGCCCTAACCCATTCCCGCCACAACCCAGAAACGAAAAGAAAAAAAGAAAGGAAAAAACAGGAGGGCCTGCTTTGCCAGGCCAAGTCCCGTTTTTGCCGATTATTGAACCGGTAGGCCGTATAACGAGCGGTTCACTGTTTTTCTTGCTGTTTGGAACTGCTCACGGCCCAATCTTGCAGTGGACTGTTATTTCTGCTAATTCTGAACTGTGCAGAGGTCACAGGCGCAGTTTTTTCACTAGTTTTTGAATTTTTACAATCGAAAGACGAAGTTAAAAATAAGAAAAATAAAGTTACGCAATGTAGATCTTGAAAAGATCTGCAACATCATATTTTTTATTTTCTTCCTTGAGAACTTTTTTAAGTCTCAAAAAATTCCCGAAAGTCGTGGCCGCACCCAACCGCGGCCGGAACCGTGGCGGCCGTGATCACGGACGTTCGCCGAGTTTAGAGCCCACGGCCGCGGCCGCGGTGATACATGGACGCATGTCAAGGCACAGAACAGGTGTGCGCATGTACAGTCAGGTGCAGAACAGGCGCCCCCATATACAATGAGAGGCACAGAACAGGCGCCTGCATATACAATGAGAGGCACAGAACAGGCGTCTGCATATACAATGAGAGGCACAGAACAGGCGCCTGCATATACAATGAGAGGCACAGAACAGGCGCCTGCATATACAATTAGAGGCACAGAACAGCCACCTGGATATACAATGAGAGGTACGGAACAGGCGCCTGCATGTGCAATAATGCACACGACACGCACGCACATGCACAATCACACAAACACGCATTGATGAGAGAGAAGGCTCGAGTCAGACAAGACGAAACATGAGTACACAGTCAGCTGGAGGCAAAAACATACTAATGTGACTGTCTTTGTAAAAAGGCCGGCTGCAGTCGAGAGATTTAACACTTCCACTCTCCTGATTTCTTTTCAGAATCTGCGGTACTACTCTTTTCTTCGCCGTAGTGCATATTATGCTTTTCCTCGCTGCAGTGAGCATTACACTATTCCTCACGGCAGTCCACATTGTGCCAAAGATAGATTTGCCGGGGACGCCGAGGGAAGGCAGAGGGAAGAGGGCTTAGAGGGGGTCCCTTTCGATTCTTCTCTTCTGGCTCTTTCGGCCGCTCACTCGACCGGAGAGATCGCCTATGAGTCTCGCCACAGAGGCCAGCTGTCAGAAAAAAAAAGAAAGTCAGTGGTAGGCAGTTTACCCCCCCCTTCGCCACACAGGCTGTCGAGGGGGAGGTTTTTTGTCATGGCCAAGTGGACTACGACTTTCGACAGGGCACGGCTGTCACCGAACAGTCCCTGACAATGCAAACAGTCCCTGACAATGCAAACTCAAACGCAATTCTCGAATGGCAGATGGGCCACTTTCGAAATTCCGTCTCCTGCAGGCGGAAGGAAACAATAAGGACTAATGGGGAAGGGTGGCTGTGGAGCGTACCATTCTGACACCTGTTGACTTTTTTTTGAGCCGCAATTCTTCCCAAGTCTGTGGGCGATGCAAAATTATCAAAAACCTGGTTTTCGACAGCCTGTGTGGCGAGCCTCTATCTCCCTCCCATGAGCAGCGTCGACATACGCAAGGAAACGATTTTGTGTGCCAACGGGGACTTCTTGTCAGTGCCCCCCGCATGGCAACGAAAGCTTTCCCTCCTCGGTTTGCATGACGGGATACGGGGAGACGGATTGGGATTGCATGTGTTGCTCGGGTAAATGACCGCCATCGTTTTCGCCAGTCGGTTGCGACCACCCGTGCTATATCTTTATCGTTTTCGCCCCCGCCGTTGCCGTTGCCTTCACCGCTGCCTTCATCCCCGTTATTCTGACCGCCATTGCTGCCGTATCGCCGTTATTTATACCACCATTGCTTCCGTCATCGCTGTCCTTACCGCCGTCACCATTGCCGTTGTCTTTACCGCCCCCTTGACGGTGCGCAACATGTGTTGCACTTTTTCAGAAGCCGAAACAACAGCACATCAGCCCGCTTGGACGGCCAAGGAGGCAAATCTGGCTTTTGGCCACTGCTGCCTTTACCGTGTCTTTATTGCCGCCATTGCCGTTGTCTTTACTGCCACCGCCCTGGTCATTCAGGCCCATTCTCTTTACCATCGCCTTCACTTTGTGCAGGACGCGTTCCACGCTCTTTCCCGTTGCGCAGGACGTGCTGCACGCCCTTTGAGAACCCGAAACGGCAGTATATCAGCCCTCTTGGATGGCCAGGGAGGCGAATCTGCTTTGTTGCCACTGCTGCCGTTACCGTTGTCTTTACCCCTGGCGGCATTGTCATTATCTTTTTACCGCTTCCGCCATTGCCGTTAACAGGCAGGAGCATTGTCGTTGTCTTCTTACCGCTGCCGCCACTGCCGTTAACAGGCAGGAGCATTGTCGTCGTCTTTTTACCGCTGCGGACATTGCCGTTAACAGGCAGGACGCCCTTTGACCAGCCGAGACGGCAGTAGATCAGCAGGCTTGGACGGCCAAGGAGGCGAATTGGTGGTTCTCTTGTCGTCAATATCGAGGCTCTTCTTCTTCTTCTTGTCAGTGGCAGCGCTGTTCTGGCTGGATGCTCTCTTCTTCTCATAGATTTTGTCCCTCCGTTTAACAATTATTATCTTGGAAACCTTGCCCCGAACCTTCTCTCTACCGCTCGGCTTGCGCTGGCGATGAACAAGATGGCCTTTCGGTGCGTACAGATGAAAGAGCGAAAACGCTTGGATCGGACGTCTCGACGGACGACTAAGATTCAGATCTGCTCCCCTTTTTTCCCTGCGCTGCAACGCCGGCAACCTGTCATCACCATGGTGCACATCCTCTTCCGTTCGGAACCCGCAGGCTCGGCAAGCGCTTCCGGGCGCTCCGCACCTTTCCCCCACCGTGCATCCGCAGGACGGCAACCCACCATCTCTCGCAGACACGTTTGCCGCTTCCTCGTCTCGGTCTCTCTCTTCTCCTTTGTTGTCATCATCGTTCTTCATATTTTGAACGTGACGCGGATCACGACCAGGATCACGAGCTGCTTCAGTTCCAATCGCTCCTGAGGGAACTTTGTCATTATCCGGCAGCCTGGCACTTTTGCCGTCCCCTTCTTCTTTTCCAATCCGATAAATTTTGTAGATACCGCTGGCAGCGCGACTCAGGAAAATCCCATTAGATGGTGATGATGATGCATCATTGCCGCTGGGCAAGTTTTGCAACTGCCGACGCACGTACGGCGGGAGACGGTTAAACTCCATCACGACCAAGGCAGCAGATGGCGATCGTGATCTTAGTCCCCTGCTTACCTGACTGCCGTCATCCTCCTCGTCACCAACTTGGAAACCATCGCCAATATCTGCTTCATCAGCATCACCGCCGCCACCCCCTGCATCGTCTGCACGCTCGCCATGGCCAGCGCCGTGCCTGCCATGGGCGGAAACATTAGCGCAGCACGAGGTGGATTCCATGTTCCCACCCGCCCGTGTTTGACTGCCAACCTGGCTTCCAGCATGGTCACGCCTTCTTTGTCCCATTTCCTGTCGTCTTATGCCGTCTTCCCAACGTGTCGAGATTCGATCCGAAGTGACAAGCATCGGTGATGGTGGTGCCATTGTGCAGTCCGTATGCTGAGCATCGTCGTGATGGGCATCATCTCCACCTCGAGTATTATCGCCACAGCAGCAATCGTTCTCTGTAGGCGAGATGATGCGGTCCCTGCAATTGCCGCTCAGGTCTTGTAGGCGACATGACTGGCCGATGCACCTGCAACTGACATCATGTTTCCCTCCTCGGCGGTCTAGAGGGTCCGCCGAGTCTGTCGGTGATGAGTTGCGAGCGCACGAAGCGCGTCTCTTCCGCTCCTCATCATGTTTGCTCTTCTTATCCGCCGCCGCCGCCGGTGTTCTGCGCGAAGCAGGAATGTTTGCCACGTCAGCTGCAGCAGCTGCAGCAGCAGCAGAGTGATCGTCAACGCATCTCCGCCTCTTGACAATTGGCTCTTCTTTCGCGCCTCCGTGACAACGAGGTGATGACCATGGTGACTTTTTGCACATCATGGTGATCGAGGGATTATGACTATTTCCCCCTCTTCGCATTGCGAGCTCAGCTGCCGCTTCTTTCCAACTCTTCTTGCCTGAGAAGACCACGATATCGAAGCATGAACAATCCGTTGGAGCGGGACGTTGGCTCAGCAACGCCGCCATAGCTTCACGTTGTTCAGCAGCTGCACGATGTACGTCCACGCGGACGTCTTTGCAAAGCCGGTCACGTCGGTGTTCCATAGCCTCTCGATCCAGGTTACATCCCATGAATACCAACAATGATGTCGAGGGGGGAAGAACGATGGAGTTGCCCCCGCCTCCAAGCCACGAGACTGTAAGCAGCGAATCTGAGTCCTTCCTGAAACTTGATGTCCCTTCAAGTCGCCCTCTGTTGTCAAGCTGGACCTCCGCCTTGCTGCCATCTCTTCGACGGCGATCGCGCCCATCCAATTCGTAGGGATCCCGACGACCGTCTCCTCGCAAATTTGCGTCGCCTGTCCGCCGTCGCCGGATCTGACTTGCGTACACCCCATTGGCGCTGGTGTCGCACAGCCATACCACTCCCTCGGGAGTGACGATGATGGCGGCGTGGTGACGACTGGCGTACACGTCGCGCAGTCGAACTGTGGACATGTAGTGACGCCCGAAAGTGACGGCCCTTCCGCATCGCAGCCACACAACCTCCTCGTTTTCCTCTCCTTTCTCCTCCTCTTTCTCCTCCTCTTTGTCCTCCTGCTTCATCTCCTTCTCCGTACCCCTCGTATCTTCAAGAACAGTTTCCAAGCCCAATGCCGCTCGCTCCTTGTTTTCCTCTTCCTCAGCTGGATGATCGCTCTTCGAGTTCCGTCTCTTCTTCGCAATCTGCACATAACCTACCACAGATCTGCTGACCGCGTTGGTCGTTCGGTTGTGATCTCCCGCCATCATCTGGCATTGATCTCCCGCTATCATCTGGCTTTGATCTCCCGCCATCACTCGGTTGAAATAATCTCCCGCCATCGCTCGGTTAAAATAATCTCCCGCCATCGTTCGGTTGTGATGTTCTGCCATGCTGACCCTCTTTCGAAATTCAATCCATCTTGTTCATCACAGCTCGATGAGCGCGATTGTCGGAGACCTCGGCTGCTCCGAGGCTCCAGATGAGTTTACGGTGCCTTTGTCGGCTTTGCTGTAGAGGTCTGAATAAGTTGATCGTCGTTATGACGAAGCGGCCTGCCGTTGCGAAGACCTGTCGATTCAGTGTCGAACATCAAAAGCATTGCACAATAGCTCAATCCTTAGTTTCCACCGGAAGACACAAAAAAGAGAAAGGCAGGTGAAAACAATCCTGCGTTTCTTACCCGAGGTCGGTGCACCTCTTTCTAACGCAATTGTCACTGCTGCTGCTTCTGCTGTTCTGTTGTCCATCGCGCTGCCTTTACCGCAGCAAGGCCGTCAACAAAAGTAAAACGCGAGGCAAACTGTACAAAAGCGCACTCTTCAGGCTCTTCCCAACAGTCGGTTTTAATGCATAATCATAATGATCATCATCATTACCATTTCGATCATCGTCATCATCGTCGTCATCATCATCATCATCATCATCATCATCATCATCATCATCAGCAGCAGCAGCAGCACAGTCATTATATCATCATCATTGCGCTCATCATCATTGCGCTCATCATCATCATCATTGCGCTCATCATCATCATCATCATCATAGTCATCATATCATCACCATCACACTCATCATGATCACCATCACACATCATCATCAGCACCATCACCATCTCAGTCACCACAGCAGCAGCAGCACAATCATATCATCATCATCACCATCATACTCATCATCACAGTCACCATCATCATCATCATCAGCAGCAGGAGCACAATCATCATCATCATCATCATCATCACCATCATCATCATCAACATCAACATCGCCACCACAGAAATCTTCATCTTCTCATTATCATTGCGATCGTACTCTTGATTACGAACATATTGTTCTCATCGTCATCAGCGTTTAGTTATTATCCATCACCATGTCAATAATCATCATGCGTATCATCCCCATTAATCGTCATCATCATCATCATCATCGCCATCACCGACGCTACTCAGAGCAACATCCCCTGCGTCAATGTCTCGCGTGAAATCAATCGGCGTCAATGAAACTCTAGAAACATCCATAATGAAAATATCCTGATTGGTACACCTATGAACTATTGAAATATGAATTAGACCCAAGTTCGCATCCAGATTCAATCAGATAACCAGAATAAAATTGTTCCAAATTCCCTGGGCGGGCCAGTTCCATGATGATATCTCAAGGCCGTCGCCCTTTCTTTCTTCCCAAAAAAAAAAAAATCAATCCTAGTTCATCATGCTGGACTCTTTCGTCACGGAAAAATTGTAGGCACCCCTTTCGCTCACGGTGACTATCCACGGTCGTTCAAGTTGAAATTTGTAATTGTTTTGTTTATTTTTTTGGGTTTTTTTTTTTTTTTTTTTTTTTTTTTTTTTTTTTTTTTTTTTTTTTTCACTTCGTTATTTTTGGAAGATAGTTTTCAACCAGCAATAGACGCGTCTCGGCTAGCCCTCACGGACAGTGTCATTATGCCCCAAGCGCTAAGATCACCTCGTTGTTTTTCACTTAACGTTTACCTCAGTATCTTTCACAATAATAATCAAAAAAAAAAAAAAAAAAAGCTCGATCGACATGGTGTACACTCACCGTCCTGCAGTGAAATCGTATTCGGTACTGAGGGCATACTCACATTAGGACTTTTCCTACAAGGCTCTGGACGTGATTGCAGTCAGATTCATTCATCTCCGTGGGAGCTAACTGCAGTCAGATGCATTGCGGAAAGCGCTAGTGTAAGTACGGCCTGAGATACGTATCTGGTCCGTCAGATCGATCTCGACAGATGGAGAGAAAACGACGTTTTGAAACTGTATCGTATTGATCATTGAGACCTCACTGAACACAAAGAGACGTAAGAACGGCAACTAAATAAAGAAAAAAATACAAAATAAAAGAACAAAAAAAGAAAACCACCCAGACACACATATGTTACGGCTTTATAGGCTGATTATCCCCTTTTCACAGCCAAGCGTCCGCAGCGGACAATTAGTGCTTCAATACAGGACCCCTCTCCCTCTTTCTCTGATGTTCGAGAGTTCATGTAGCCGTCTTTCCCCTACTCGAACGTACGGTCACTGTCTCTGTATCTAGCTTGCAAGTTGCACCGAATACAGCTATATCAGCGGCCATTCTATTTCTGGTGAAGCCGGGAACAGTCTTTCCACCTTGCTGCTCTTACTGTGCGTGTGTCTTGTGCTTTCATGTCCAGCTCGTCGTGTCGGGTGCAACAAACCATCTTCTCTTTGCTCTCTCTTAGCTGTCACAGTTGTCCATCTGAAGAATCGTCATCATCATGCACACAAGAACCTCCTCCTGTCTCTTTCTGAAAAAGCGATTGATTCCTGAAAAAAAAAAGAAAAAAAGAAAAAGCGATTGTTGTTAAACATTTGAACATTTTCATTTATCGTCGAGAATCCTCGTGAATCGCGATCGTCTATACATATATATTTGCTTGCAGATCTTTTTTCGCAATTATTCTCCGTTTGCTTCCCAAGTTAAAATAAAAATAAAAATAAAAAAAATTCCGTTGGACTCACGGAATCTCGCGACCATCGACCAGGGCTTTTTTTTTTTTTTTTATGTGGTCCGATGGACCACGGATCAGATATTAAACTGATCAGAACAGATACAACACTTGATCTTAGCCAAAAGGCCGAGAAAGCCAGTTTTGAAACACGCGGCACTAGTTCGTACATATTTGGAAATGTGGATATCTGACGACGGCAGAAAGACGATCTGTGAGCTTGGGAGAGGTCCGCTACCACGTGGCAGTCGATCAACAACCCACGTGTATCGATCAGTTTCGCAGTCTTCATCGAGCCACGACGACTGGGGCGCCCACAAACTGCGACTCCTTACCTGTGGTCAATGTCAACGTGCGAGGCTTGGCTTCGGATGGCATGAACAGGGGTCCGGGAGTCAAACACGTGATCACGTAAAAATAATTTGCGCATGCAAACGTGAAAGTAATTCCGCATGCTACTCGTGCCTGACAAGCACGTCGAAACAATGCATGTGGACAAGATCACTCGAACCGCAAACTGATAAGATCACTCGAACCGCAAACTGATAGCAGGACTGGTTTTCAGAAAAATAACGCAGTCAATGTAGGCCTCATTAGTTTGGGAAAAGTTATAGATCCCCCGCGACAAAACCTTTGCATTCATTTGCCCTCATGGCTGTAAAACACATTCCCGCCATTTTTGAACAGCGGGCCTTACCGGTCCAGGAAGGGTGCAAAAATGACTGACACGAAAAGTGATTTTGGGACTGCCGGACTGTTTGGGTAGAAATATATACAAAGGTTTTGTGGCGGGGGGGATTTATAATTTTTCCCCATTAAGTTGGAAATAATTTGGATACGTAAAGACGCGCACTCACACAAAAACAACCCCCTCAAAAAAAAAAAAAAAAAAAAAAAA